AGTCCATCAGTGGCTTCGCTCTGCCATCCCTGATTCACAACAACCAATCTCTCCTATAGGTTTCCTATTTTTGAAACTTCCGCCACCGCCTTGTGCGGTACTACTGGTAGTTGTAGTTGTAGTTGTAGTGTGCTGTAGTGTAGTGTAATGTGGTGTAGTTGTAGCTGAAGGTGTAGCTGTATTTGTAGTCGTAATGTAATTAGTGTAGTGCATTGTGATTAGCGTAGTGTAGTGTAATTAGTGTAGTGTAATGTAGCAAAGTATATTTGTGCATGCATTTGTATTTGTAGTTGTAGTAGTAGTGTAGTTGCAGTTGTAGTTGTAGTTGTAGTTGTCTATCTATCCATCTGTCTGTCTGCAAGCTTGAAAACGAAGCAACTCTTCGAGACTTCAGCAATTTTCAAGTTGGCAACGTCAAAAACGAAGCAATTTTTGAAGTTAGCAACATCAAAAACTAAGCAATTCTGCGCAAGACTTCCTTCAAAAATGGAGAGTTGAATGCAGAGCTGATGGCCTCGTGCCAATGCGTTTTGCGATTTTTCCAGTCCATCTGTGTAAAGTGCTGCGCCTGCCACGCGAAAGTGATGCCAGGTCATACGAAGTGCTGCACCTGTCACACAAAGTCATCTTCGCCAAACTGAAGATCTGATGCACCAAAATGCAAGCCCTCTCAGGAAATCAGCGCCCTGACGTCCAAACATCTCTGATTATGTCTTTTGTACTGCGCTTCCCACGCGACATGCATCTTTCCAGATCCTCTTCAAATGTCCCACACCTGCCATCGTTTTTGAAACTGACACAAAACCTCCATGTTTTGCTCGCTATTGACAAGGTGCGCAATCCCCTGCGCCTGCCACGCAAAACAACATCTGAACGTCCAAAAGTGCTCCGTACCCCTGTTATTTTTTTTTTGCACTTTTGACTTCGAAATGTGCTTCGCGCCACAACGGCGTGCACTTTTTCAACAGTCTTAACTTCCAAAAGTGCTCTGAACGTGGTGTGTTCTGTACATTTTGACTTAGAAATGTGCTCCGCGCCTCAACAGCGTGCACTTTTTTAACATCTCAGCATCCAAAAGTGCTGCACTTTTTCGACATGTCAACTTCCAAAAGTGGTCCGACCCTGGTGTGTTTTACGCATCTTGACTTCGAAATGTGCTTCGTGCCACAACGGGTGCTACTTTTCATCTCTTCTCTGGCCACATGGCCCCGCACCCGCCGCTTTAGCGAGCCTACTTTTCGAGCCTCCGGAGCCAGAAATCAATGAAAAATTGAAAAGCACAATGTTTCGCGACTTTTCTACCTTTTCGCGCACCTGCATCTTCTTTCTTCTGACTCTTTCTCTTCTCTGACTCTTCTCACCTCTGCTTTTCCATCTGTCCATATTGTCAGAAGTTTGACTTCAAAACTTCCTTCGATCAAATCCCTTTAAGACGGGTCATCAGCGCATCCATTCATCCATTCACTTCATGTCATTTAATTTCATATTATTTCATCTCACATCGTTTCATTTCACATCACTTCACTCCACTTCATTTCATTCAATTTTCCCTTGCCTTTCTTTTCATCTCATTCCATTTCAATTCATCTCAATTCATTCCACTCCATTCCATTCCATTCCATTCCTTTCGTTTCTTTTCATCTCATGTCAGTTCGTTTCATATCACTTTTCATTTCTCATCTCTCATCTCACACCTCTCATTTCATTTCATTCACTTCGTTTCATCTTATCTCATTGCATTCATTTCATCTTATTTTGTTTCATTTATTTTCATTTCATCACATTTCACCATTTCATTCTGTTCATTCGTTCATCTTATTTCATTTGATGTCATGTAATTTCTTTTCATTTGATTTCATTTTTTCCATTCAGTAACGTGCCTCCGCAACCCTTCCTACAGGCCCTTCATGCGGTATGACTTTTTATCTGTGAGTTCCGCCCTGGCGGAGCTCCTTGAACGTGCAAGATTCCTACAGGGCAAAGCCTCGCCAATTTATACACTGGTATGGATCAACATCGAAGGTACCAATGGAAGTTTGAGACGCTTTGACAAGGGGTTGATAGTACCCACGCATAGCCATAGTCTTGCCATGTCTTGCCGCCAAGCTGCTGCTAAGTGTAGAGGCCAAAGCTTCTCAGTGGGTGAAGAACTGAAGATTGACAAGACCGACCCAAAAGTGAAGCGCTTCGGGCCTCGTAGCCCATGAAATCGGTGGAAAGATGGCACCAAGATGATCCAAGAATGGGTCAGGTGCCTCCCAGTCGGTTTCAAACATGTCACTGGTTTCTGCCCTTATCTAGTTAGGTTGAGCTACCCATCGTTCAAAAGGGTGTTTGTCAGTGGATCATCCCCGCCAATTTTACCAGTTATGCCCTAGATTTCCCACCATGAAGTTTCACCCCCGAAGCCAAGGGTCCGTCCAGCGGCGCGTTCACATTGCTCGCCGTTACGACGTGAGGCTTGAAGAAGTTATACCTAGGCATGGCCAGGGTAGACGTG